GTTCTTGTTCTCGTGCATGATAATGAAGTCATATCGACTTGTTCCTCGTCTAGTTTGATAGGGAACATAATTATGTGGATAATTTATAAGGTTAATACAACGAAAAATCCCAAATTGGTATAATTGTGACTTATTTACTCTAAATTAATTTTTTTACCACAAAAAACCCCAAATTAGTACACCTGTGACAGATTTACCCAAAACTAATTTTTTGACAACAAAAAACCATAAACTTATACACTTATGACAAATTTTCCTTCTGTAAAATTGGATTAATACAACGAAAAATCGCAAATTGGTAAACTTGTGATAAACGGATAGGTAAAACTCCAAACTGGTATGCCCATTAACTCTTACGTGTCATCAAACTCAGCAAATTAACGGTAAAATCTAACGAAGGGTAAATTTGTCACAGGTGTAACAATTTGCGATTTTTCGTGGTTAAAAAATTAGTTTGGGATAAATTTATCACAGCTGTACCAGTTTGGGATTTTTCATGGTATTAACCCTAATTTATATGTAGGTGGACTAAATCATTAACAATAATACGTTCAGAACACGCGCACTCTTTGCATCTAAAACCCGAAGAAACTTCATATCAGAAAATAATAATAATAATAATAATAATAATAACAATAATAAGCTTTTCTACTTAGGAGACAAATAGCAGTAAGTTCGTTAAAAGAGGGAATGCGACCTTTCCTATAAAGGTGCAAAGTGAAAGCATTTATCCCTTTGTAATCATGCATTCACTTTGCTGTCCCTTTCTTTTATCAAGCGATCATTCAGGGCCTCGTCTCCTGCGTCTATATTTATCATGTCGTAGTTCTATAATCTCTCCGAAAACCATTAATTCGTGAAAAGTTAGTGCTTATTGGACTAGAACTTTTTTTTTGATAAAGCTCGTTTATTGAAATCTTTTCGGGAGTTTGGTGCTTGTGTAAAGTCTTAATGGTACGTTTGCTTTGCGGAAAGGAAAATAAGCATTCCATGGTGTTAGGGTGTATGTGTGAGTTGTGTTAAAAAAAATCTCATATCGAACAATTGGTGAGGTATAAAGCAATTAATATTTTTTAGTTGACCTATAATTCATTGGTTTAAGCTTTTGAGTGAAGATAGGCCCAACTGGATATGTTAACAACATGCTTAGACTTAAGCTCCCTCATGGTGATCTCCTCGGCTAAAAGGTATTGGGCTTCTCTTGCACGCTCCTAACAAATTGGTATCAGTCTCCTGCATGCTCCTAAGAAATTGATATTAGAGCTAATGGTCTCTGCATGCTTCTAACAAATTGGTATTAGAGCTAATGGTTTGTTCCGATATTTGGTGGATGAAGTTGGACGTAATTTCCGGGCAGGCCCGGTGGCATAACTTTATATCTTGATGCAGAAAGATACCTGAACTTAGGCTCTCTCTTAGTGATCTCCTAAGGCAAAAAGTATCGAGCTTCTCCTATAGAGAAGGAATAAGAATATAATAACTACTTTTTTCAGTTTGGTTTGTAGAAGGGAAAATTGTTCAAAAAATTTTAAACCTATTGATTAAGTTATAAACATTTTAATTGTGTCAATTGAGTTCATCTGGCCAATTTTGGCCTTAAATTGTTGACATGGACGCCGGTCATCCTACATGACATGACCGGCGCTGATGTGGATAATTTTTAATAATATTTTAAAATTTTTAATCTTTTCTTTTTTTTTCTTGGCGCTGATGTAGATAATTTTTAATAATATTTTAAAATTTTTAATCTTTCGCTTTTTTTCTTTTATTCTCTTTTCCTTCTTTACTTTTTTTTCTTTTTCTCCTTTTTCTCTTCTTTTCTTTTCTTTTTTTCTTTTTATTTTTTGCCTCTGCCGGCCATCGCCAAGCCTCGTTGATAGCCGGCGGAGGTCATCAAACTCAAGCAAAGGGCTACCCTTGCCCGACGAGGCCTGGGAAAGGCAAAAAAGAAAAAAGAAAGAAAAGAAAAGAAGATAAAAGGAAAAATAGGAAAAAGTAAAGATGGAAAACAGAAGAAAAGAAAAAAAAGGAAAAATAAAAAAGTAATAAAAATATTAAAATATTATTAAAAATTGTCCCGTTAGCGCCGGCCGTGTAATGTAGAACAACCAACATCCATGTTAGTGATTTCTAGTCGAAATTGGCCAAATGGACTCAATTGGCAAAACGTGAAAAATGTTTAGAACTCAATTAATACAATTAAAATGTTTAGGACTGAATTGATAAAAGTACAATAGATTTATGACTTTTTGGGCAATTTTCCCGTTTGTGGAATGGAATGGTTATTTCAAGACTATACTCTTGTTTGATTCACTTAATGCTTTTGAGAATAAGCTAGGAATAGTAAAGAATTTCCATAATACCATTTGATGATAGACGGTCAAAGTCTAAGTTCTTTTGTTATCATAGATATCATAATTTATATAATAATTTTCGTTCTATAATTTCTAATAGTAAATATAGTATAATCACTAATTTTCCATTGAATAATAATAAAATTGACAATATAATGTCTAATGATTGTTCTTATTGAACAATTATATCATAATATTAATTATCATCGGTGTAGTTACATTATAGTTTTTTTTTTCTATTATCTTAATCAGAACATGTATGATCGTAATACTATATTAATAACTACACTTAATTTGATTACACTTCATATATAAATAATAAAAATAAATATGATACCTTTAATTTCTAATAATAATTGTAGTATAATCTTGTTATAAATGACCTAATTATTATTGTTATGATGATAATTAATTATGGATTTTGATTAGACATGCGGTTTATGTGAAATTGCCTTTATACAGGTTGATTTTGAAGCACGCGATGTGTGCATAGTTGATGTTGCTTAGAAAAAAGATAGAAAGATGCATGGCATTCATTGGAACCATTTCGTACGAGGACAAATTCTGGTTTAGACTCGACTCCAGATGGATCAGGTTCAAAATGACTGTTGATCATGTAGGTCCGATACGTAAGTCTCACGTGATCTCTCTGACTAGGAGGGCATAGAGTCCATGAATCTAGATCCAAGGATGAATCTCTCCAGTACTAAGAAGAACACATTTGTCATGTCAATAGGTGAAGTAGACAAGGCTCTTTTGATACTAGTCCAAGAGCCCTCAAATTGGCACCCATTTGATTCTGCTAGACTCCTAGCTATACAAATTACAAACCTCTAAAATTGGCCGAAATCTCTCTCTCTCTCTCTCTCTCTCTCTCTCTCTCTCTCTCTCTCTCTCTCTCTCTCTCTCATATGATATCAAACATTCCTCTTGCTTGCATCCATTAGAGAGAGAGCGACTCATCACATCATCTCTCTTTAATCATTGATCGTGGCTCATCATGGGAGTGATATCAGAAGTACTCTCTCACCAGCTGAACTATCGTTAGGTCACAACTTAGACCCATCGGGCCAAATTGGGCTCAAACCAAGGCAAAATCGTGGTTAGGGGTCATTTGTACTCTGTGGTAGAGCCGTCCCAAGTCCAAGCCGGATTGATGTCATTACGTGATATGCAGCGAAAGCAAAGAGATTCGAGTATGGAAACTCATGCAACGGGAGTTGCAAAAGACACGACGGAATACTCTCATAGAACTTGCTTCCTGAGGCGAAGTTGCATGAGAAGAGAGCAAAAGGCTATATCTGTGTGCTTGAAACTTTAAAATTAATCAAACCAGGTCTAAAATGATGAAATAAATCAAAATTGGATTGGAAATTGCAGATTGGTGCCAACATACTAAGAAAAATGGACCGGACACGAGAAAAAAGTGGCCTACTTAGGTATGGAAATAGTGGATTTAGAGATCCAAAAATGCCCCAAATGGTTCAATATCCAAAGTAGACATTGATGTGGTAGGAATACACTCTCACAAATGCCAATTTCTATCATAGGCGCTCAAATCATGCCGATTCAAATGTTTTAGAAACTTTTAATCAACTTATGGAGAATATGTCCCGAGTTTGAGCCTATGAACGAAATCCGATCTGAATTGTAGTGCGTGGAACTCTGGCCTGCATAAAGAAAGTCCAAATGGGGTTGTGTCACTGCCTTATGTAAATTCAAACAAGCAAGAAAACATGGGTTTCCTAATCCATTTTGGAGTCAGCTAAACGAAGGGTTAATTGTTTTCATGGTGGTCTCGATCGTTTCATAAGCCGTTGTTGATCTGGCTTTAGTTTGCTACAAATGTGGTATGTAGGTGGCACCATTGTTACAATCTAGATAATTTGCCAGAAAATTAGAAAAACAAGGATCGTCCAGCCTCTTAACTTCTTATCCTCACGACTTGGTTTCTTCTACATGACCAATTGATGCATCTATACGATACCACCAGTTAAATGTATGCCTCAAATTTGGTATGTTTTCGGCATCTCGGTGGATGTGGAAATCACTCCACTCCACACATTTGAATAACTTCTTTTCTTAATATATACTTTTTCAGCCGACAATATCGTGTTATCGTTGCACAAATTTAATATTGCCTCACATGCATACTTTACTTGTATGGCTCTAATTGCTCTCTACTAGGGGAGGTGACCAGTGTGCATTGCAATGCTAATTTGTGCACAACTGCTTCCAACTTCTTCTCCAGAACCAAACACCATCCATAAGCAGCTCCCAGAATGTTCCAAATCTCTAATTTAAGGTTTTCATATCATGGCAATGATCCTTTGGCTTTGACCCATGAGGTCGCTTGCTTGCCTATTGCAAAGGCAAAATCTCTACCCTCATGACACGTTTGGAAAATGTCACTAAAGCCGATCAACTACCTCATTACTCCCCCTTATAACCAACCAAATTGAAGATTAAACAAACAACACCAAACTCCCAAGTAAATCACCTAATCATTATTATTTTTTTAAACCCCATTGTGGAAGGAGGACCCTTATATATATACTCTCAAGAGTGCTTTGCGCTAATAGCAAAGGTTGTGTGCTTTTAGAGCTCTTGATTCTTATGGATCTTTTGCTAGATTGAATAGGAGACATGGTCAAACAACCCATTGTGTTGGTGGCTTTGGTGCTTTTGTTGATTCACGTGAGGGCTCAAAATGATACTGGCCTTAGTGCTTCTTTCATCTTTGGTGATTCCTTGGTTGATGCTGGAAACAACAGTTATTTACAGACATTGTCCAAGGCTAACATTCCCCCAAATGGGATTGATTTCAGAGCATCTGGAGGGAATCCCACTGGCAGATACACTAATGGAAGAACCATTGGTGACATTGTGGGTATGTGAATTTCTTGTCTGCTTAGTTAATTTCTCTAGCTTTTTGTGATTTTTTTTTCTTGGGGTGTGCATTGATGGGTTTTTTAGGCTATTATTTTTTACTTCACAATATTCATGATATTTATTTATTATCTATTTTCAGGGGAAGAACTGGGGCAACCTAACTATGCTGTCCCATTTTTGGCTCCAAACTCAACTGGCAAAGCTATATTGAATGGAGTCAATTATGCATCTGGGGGAGGAGGGATTCTGAATGCAACTGGAAGTATCTTTGTAAGCACCCAAACATAATTGACAATATGCTGTCACATACACGTTTCGTTTTAATTATTTTGCATGCACATGCATGGGCCATCAAAAGCTAGGGAGATTACTATATGTTTTGCAGATAAATAGGCTGAGCTTGGATATCCAAGTTGACTACTTCAACATCACAAGGAAGCAGTTGGATAAGCTCTTGGGACCATCACAAGCAAGAGACTACTTGATGAAGAAATCAATCTTCTCAATCACAATTGGGGCTAATGATTTCCTGAACAATTACCTGCTTCCGGTCCTCTCTATCGGTGCCCGGGCTTCTCAAACCCCCGACGCTTTCATCAACAACATGATCAATCACTTGAGGAATCAACTTACGGTACCCAAATGATTTTGACCAATGTTTGAAATTCTAAAAGGGGATGAAAGTTCGAATTAGTCTATTAAAACCATGGATTAGATTAATAATCTTCATTCCTAGGTTATGTTTACTCATGTGAGATTCACTCAACCCAGCTGGCAAAATCGTTGGGTCTAACTCTAATTCGATCGAATCTATTGCAGTACAATTTTTTCATGCAGTTATAGTTGTCATGATTTGATGCAGAGACTCTATCAATTGGATGCTCGGAAGTTTGTATTAGGAAACGTGGGTCCAATTGGATGTATACCTTATCAAAAAACCATAAACCAATTAAGCTCGGATCAATGCGTCGACTTGGCCAATCAACTGGCACATCAGTACAATAGCAGGTTGCAGGATCTGCTCACTGAACTCAACGAAAATCTTCGAGAAGCCACTTTCGTCAACGCGAATGTCTATGATCTTGTGATGGAACTCATCACAGACTATGACAAATACGGTAAAGTTCATTATAAGTCCATCTTCTTTTACTTGCGAGGTTCGGTACAACTGCAACCTTGTTTATCAAAAGGAGTTAATTTTTGATCAAGAACAAAATATCCTGTCATCTTTTTTCTTTGGCTATGTTTGTCGTGGGTTTTTAGCTTTCGGAGTTTCATTTCTATTCAATCGAGTCTCACGGAGCGCTCGCCACTCAAGTCATAGCAGGATAAACTTATTACTCGTGCTTAAATATGGACTTACGATTCGGGCAAGATGACTTGTGTACTAATTATATCTACAACCCGTGGATCAATGAAAAGCTCAGGAAAAAAATATACTGCTTGGCTACCTAAATTAATGCTAATCAATGATATCCTATGGTACTATTGATACACGAGACTTACTTTGAAATATCACATTTTCAGTGCATCCGGAAATCTGGTATAATCGTGAACCATCATTTTAATACCGTGTCATTTTGATTTGAAGTTAGAGCCGCATGTGTCTCTTTCGAGCCCAAGCTGAGGCGGATATCATACTGTTAAACGCTAAAATATATTGGAATCTTCTCATTGATTTCCTAATTTCTGACTGTTCCTGAGTACATGTTTGGTAATGCAGGTTTTACAACAGCCAGTACAGCTTGCTGCGGGAATGGTGGCCAATTTGCTGGGATCATACCGTGTGGTCCAGTATCAAGCCTATGTAGCGATCGATCCAAACATGTCTTCAGGGATCCTTATCACCCGAGCGAGGCGTCCAATCTCATACTGGCAAAACAATTGGTCGATGGAGACACTACATACATCTCTCCTATGAATCTCAGACAGCTTCGAGATCTTTGATTGACTTCTTTATAAAGTCTGCAACGTAATTTGTGTGGCCATGTGAGCAATTACCGTTTCTTGTATCATGGAGCTGTAGATCTACTATTTCTGTACAAGCCTTGGGAATTTTGCATTCTGTTTCTTGTTGATAAGTAAATATATATGCAACCTTCTTTGTGATATATATACATACATTATCCACTCTAAAAGAAATGGGTAAAGCTGACAAAAGCCAAACGAATTTTCGAGTCTTCCTCGGTTGAATTCCTTTTTTTCTTTTCGAATTGCAATCATCAATCAAATTCACATGGTGGGTAATGACTCCATTCGATTATTAATAAACCAGCTGTTTAAGTTGTTTATAGGAAATCAATGATTTGGGACAATGAAATCCTAAGAATGTTTTCTTAGATTAGCGGGATATGAAATTGTGAAGAAAGACCCACCCATGGGTAGCTTAGTTGGTTAGGGCGTACTTGGGATTGTGTGGTTAGGCGCACTGGTCCCAGGTTCGATTCCCCAGCTAAGCACTTGTGATTTAAGTGGGGGGCCATGGCGGTGGGTTGCTGTGCTAGTCTCCCCTGAGGAATAGTCGAGATGCGCGCAAGCTGGTCCGGACACCTCGGTTAAAAAAAAAAAATTGTGACAAAACAAGGGGAGCTAGAAAAATTTCTGTCGGTACAGTTTACAAATAAAATGCCAGTCTGTACAAACTTGTCCAACCAAAAAAATAGAGTTGCACTGTAGGAGACACTAGGAAGATGATAGCTTCAATCTCAGAGCTTCGGACTGTCAATACTCATCAGAGTCTTCAGTTGGTTCCTTGTCTTATCATTTGAAACAGCCATAGATTCTGCATAAGAATTGTCTCTGTCTCATACTTCATCTCAGTTTTGATTCTGTTTCTATGGTCATAGGTAAGCTGTCGTCTTTCCCTATTGAAAGAATTTTTCCTTATCTTCTGATCAAGACATCTCACATCTGTTTCACTAATTCTACTTTATGCAGAGAGTCAAGGTGTCATCGGTTGTCATTAATTTTCACAGAGACAACCTCCCCAACCCAAAACCAGTCCATGGTATGAGTCGAAGAACATTAAAAAACTTCGTGCTCTTACTGTAAAATAAAACACCAGAATCCCAGTGGTGCTGGGAATCGGGAACTTGGAGGTATCTGCCTAGTTTGAGACAAGACTTACCCTGATGTCTTTGCTAAGGGAGTAATCACATTTTATGCACATTGCGTCAACATTGCTTATCTGTGCTTTGGCAACAAGCCAATTATTGGTGATATACCTCAGTTTGTGCTGCCTGCCATTTAGGGTCTTGAAGCAGCGCTAGAAGCTAACAATTATTCACTACCCGTTACTACCGTTCCGCTGTCTGTCCAGACAACATTCAGCCCAGTTGCTCAATTTGCAGCTAATTCTGATCCTTTTTAAGGACCTGTATTCCAATTCTTACTAGCCAACAGTTACCCTCTCTCTGTAGTGTGTACCCTTATATTGGGTATGGTGCTGATCCAAGAGCAGTCAGGCCAGATTATGCTCTGTACAGTGCCTCCGGAGTCGTGATCTGAAATAAAAATCTTGGCTACAGTGACCTATTTGATGCCATAGTTGACTCTTTCTACTGGGCATTGGAGAAGGCAGAAGGGCCGAATGTTACACCGTGATCATGTGCAGAATGTATCTTCTTGCGACATGGTATTCCTCCTTCATTGCTGCTTCCCAGCCAAGATGAGACAATGCTTCTCTGACAGATTTAGGGATTAAAACAGAATCCAAGGAAGAGATGAATACCATGTAGGGAGAAGATATATGACTATAACTCAGAGAAGTACAGATTGGCTGAGTATTAGCAGTGGAATGTCTACCTTTTGTGTGAGCAATAGGTAAGTCAAGCTCAGACGTAGAAGAATCTGAGGATGGAGAGTTAACTAGAACAGATGAAGAATCTACCGGCTCTGCCAGGGAAGCAGCTATGTGCTCTCCTTCTAGAGCAACTGTCTGCTCTCCTTCTGGTGTCTCAGTGTCCACCGGAGGTTGCCAATGCCTGCACAGATATGTGATGAGATCACCATGTGCTGTTTTGACGCTGATGACCGAGTTCAACTGGAAAAGAACTATTAAATCTGGACTCCTCATTCTAGATACCACATATGATTGAATTAAACTCATCAGCTTCTGATCTTTTCATGTTTCCAATTAGGCTGTTAAGTTCAGACCCGATTTTGCTTATAGTAGGATGTAACTGGTCACCAGAAGAGAACACATTCATTGTATCCTGGGATTCAATCCAACTTAGTCCTGGATCTTTATCCATCATGAGCCCTCTCATCTTACGTCTTGTTTCCGCAACAACATCCCACTTCCCTGCGGCCGCGTAAAGATTGGAGAGCAAGATGTGAGTTGCAATGTCTTCCATGTCCAAACTCAGAACATGCTCAGCGGCACGAATTCCCATGCGCAAATTCTGATAATTTACAGATGAACTAAGCAAGGTTCTCCACAATTCTAAATGGTCATCATAGAATGGTGATTTGTTAATCATTTCCTCTGCCTCTTCCAGGAATCCTGCTCGGCTCAGCAAACTGACCATGCATGAGTAATGCTTAGAGCCTGGACTAAGATTAAAGTTTCTCATACAATTCCATAAGATCTTTCCTTCATTGACCAAGCAACTATGGTTGCAAGCAGAGAGTGCTGATAAGAAGGTCACTTGATCTGGAAGTAGACCGGACATAAGAATTTCATCAAAAAGTTCCAACGCCTTCTCTGCCAACCCGTGGTAGCCATATCCTCCGAGCATCGAGTTATAGCATTTCAAATCAGGGTTGGAAACATCAGAATATATTAACTCAGCAGCTTGAAGGTTTCCATTTTTAGCATACATGTCAACTAGACCACCACAGACAGCCATGTCGACATCAGATCCCGATTTTACAGCCAAGCAATGTATCATCTCTCCTTGTTTGAGAACTGTAAGATCAGCACATGCGCTCAAAGCTCCACTTAAAGCAAAACTATCAGTCTTATGTCCTTCCTCGTACATTTCATAGAAATATTTTATTGCAGTCTCTGAATCTGCCATTTTAGAATGAGCTGTGATCATCTCTGTCCAGATAACCACATCCTTTTCCGGTAATGAGTGGAAAACATTATGAGCATACCCATTTTCTCCATTTGTAAAGTACATGGAGATTAGCGTAGTTCCAACATAGAAGCTACTTTCAAATCCCACTTTGATGACTTGACCATGAAGAGCCTTCCCACAGTCATTGACTAAGAATGTTCCTGTTGCAGAAACTGCAGCTGCGAGAGTGTATTCATCCGGTTTAGGAAACGAATGTCTCCGTAACTGTATAAAGATCTCTATGGCAACTTCTCCATGACCATTTTCTGTATACCCAGAAATCAATGAGTTCCAAGAAACAATGTCTGGATTCTGCACTCTATCAAAAATAGTCTGTGCACTACTGATGTCACCACAGTTGAGATACATGTCAAGCAGGGCATTCTCCATAGGCAGATCAAAGGTGATGCCAGAGACGACTGCTCGGCCATGGATGATCCGTCCAAAGGTATGATGTTCCAACTTTGCGCAAGCATTCAGGACAATTGAATACGTGAACTGAGTCGGAGAAACACCAGATGCAAGCATCTCACTGAATATGCGGAGTCCATCCCTGATTCTATCGTTCTTCAAACTCCCGAAAATCATCGAGTTCCACGCAACAGCATCTTTATCGGCTATACACCGGAAGACATTCCCTGCAGATTCCAGATCCCCGCAACTAGAGTACACGCCAAGAATAGCCGTCTGAACACAGATATTATCCGCAAATCCACATTTCACGACATGACTGTGAAGCAAAGAACTCGTGAACCGATCTTCGAGCAAAGAGTAAGCCTGAAACAAGCTGGTGAAAGTCAGCCCATTAGGCCTTAACCCCTCATCACCCAGTCGGGCGAACAACCCCACTGCCGATAACGCCCGATCGGGCACCCGAGAATAAACCGAGATAAGCGCATTGTACGAAACTACGTTTCTCTGAGGCATTCTGTCGAACACTTCCCGTGCCCTGTCCAATGACCCGCAACGAGCGTACATGGAGAGAAGATTGTTGTTCACGTACGGAGAGACGGCGTGGGTCGTGAGGACGAGAGCGTGGAGCCGACGCGCAACCTCGAGGGTGGCCGCGGAAGCGCATTTTTGGAGGAGTGGCTCGCATAACGGCGGCATAAGCGACCGGGACCAATAGCCTCACGGCCGGCTCCGGCCGGCGAAGATAACTACCAACTACCAGAAGGCAAGTCGCGACTTTGAGCAATAACGGATGACACTCGCTGATTTGTTGAGTTGATAATCTTTAAGGGAGCTAATTAATCGAAATTACAAGTGTAAAAAGTGCGAAAGTTGCTGTTTATTAAAAATGCGAAAATCACGTATTGTCATCAAAATATAAGACCGTCCATATTAATCAAAACAACCATATTTTATTTCGAGTTCATTTTTACACAAACTTTATTTTCCTCTCCTCTACTTACTAAAGTGCTCAAGTCGGATATTATGTAGAATTTTGTGTAATGGGTTTGAACCTTCTTAATGATCTTTGTCAATTTACATATTTCGAGTATAATTAAAATCATAAACAGTTCACAGCTTTAACCAAAGAATTCCCTTCAGAAAATTTTGAATTAAAAAATTGTATACTACAAGGAATTATTTCTGATTGAACTCTCGAGAGATATTGTAAATAAATTAGTTGATTAATATTATTTTGTTTTAGAATCTTGCTCGTTAAATTTACTAAAAAACTCGAAACTTAGATGATTCTCATAAAAAGCAACAAGCATGTAAACTTCTCTGATTTGTTAATAAAAATAAAAAAAAACAATAGTTCGGGAAAGGTTTATAAAAACAATTAGATTGGTTAATTTATGGGAGAAGAACGTCGGAAGTGCCAAAAGTTGTGTACGGTGCTCACTTTAGTGCAAAAAATTTCTTTTGGATCACTTCAATGCCAAATTTTTTGAAAAACGATAATTTCAGTTTCAACTCCGATATGTTTGGCCGGAAATCTGACGTGGCCTTTTTTTAGTAGTTTCTTAAGCCGACGTGGCTCGTCGGAAAGTCTAGTCAGTATCTAATCCCTAAAACGACGCCGTTTAGTACTCTTTTCCCCAAATAAGAACCATAAATCCCCAAATTGAAAGAGAATCCCCCAATTTGCAACCCTAATAGGCTATTGAACACCCAATTGAAACCCTATTTAGATTCACCCCAAAAGTTACGAGCTCAATCTTGCAAATGGAGAGTAGTAGCTTCGGCAACGACTCAAATTTGTTTCAACGAAGCGAACAAGAGGATGAATGTTACTATTTTTGCGGGTTACCGAGTCCAATAAGATATTGGACTCGGTTGAATCCCGTAAGAAGATTTAATGGTTGCGCTAGGTATAGAGAAGGCTCGCAGTGCAAAATTTCAAATGAATTGATGCGAAATTCTCCGGTCGAGCGACAAAGGTGATTTTGGAGCTACTTGAAGGACGATATCAACCTCTACCTACATTAATGGATGAATTGGAGGATGTGGACTCAATGCAAGTTGAAATGAAGGCTTTAATATCTCTGACCAATCATTTGAAAAAAAAAGTTTTAAGGATGAAAATTGAAAGGAAGTGTTATCGAGTATTGATTGTGTTATTATTATGTTGTGTAGCCTATTTTTATGGTCAAAATGTAAAGCGAGTGAAGAGAAGAAGTTTTTCAGTGTACTATAGTTGAAGATGAGTGGGATATGTACTTGTATTGGATAATTTATAAGTATAATTGTATTAGCTTATTTTTGTATAGAACAAAAGTTTGTTGCAATCTATGGTGGAAATGGAAGGTCAAAATTCATTGGTTGCGAGCATTTACAAGTTCTCTTGCTTAGTTGTATATTCTCAATTCTTATTTGCTTAGTTTTGCTTGAGATGTTTGGATTGCTGCAATGGTTTGCTAGTATTGCTGGTAATTGTTTGCTATATTGTTTGCTGGTAATTGGATGCTGGTTTGCTGCAATTGTTACTGCAAACACTTTTCAAATGAAGAAGTGGTACCAAGTTCACAAGTCATTATTTCAGTGTCATATGTTGTAAATAGCGATCATTTGAGTGTCAAGTTTTGCTGAAACTGATCACTTAAGTGCCAATTGTTGTGAAAAGTGATAACTTAAGTGCCAATCGTGGTGAAAAGTGATCACTTAAGTGTCAGTTATTGTTAAAAAGTGATCACTTAAGTGCTGGTTGTTGATATGTTCGTTTCTTTGGTACGGCACCAGCAACAAGCACATAGCTGGTGTGCTTGCTCCACCAACTATGTATTGGTGCAAGCACAAGACGCCTATGTACATCTTGTGCTTGCACCAACACATAGCTAGTGCAAGCATAAGATGCCTATGTGCTGCACTTACACATAGCTGATGGACTAGCGCACCAGCAGCTTGCACCTCGCACCAGCACATATAATTGTTGGTGCAAGCTTTACACTAGCCACCAAATACCACTAGCACCAAGCTTTGCATTAGCCAAGCACCAGTAATACCTCCACTAAGCCCTGCATTAGCCAAGCACTCTAAACACATTCACCAAGACCTGTAGCAGCCAAGTATCACCACCACCAGTGCACCACCACCATCACCTCCACCAGCCAAGCACAATTAGCACAACTAGAACATCAAGTAGAATTAGCACACCAGCAGCACAACTAGCACAACCAATAACAAAATATGGAAATTTTAAAAGTATAGACATAATAAACATTGGTCCATTGACATTAAACTTAGTTTTTACATTTGGTCAATATGAATAACCAACTAAAACATTCACATCCATGGAATGGCTTTCCACCAAACAAAAACATTCAACTTACTCAACGCTGTACAATGTCAATACCATGAGTCAATATGCACAACCTCTCAACAAAAAAAAAACTGTCATATTAAGCACCCTCCCATCAGTCAATATGCACAAACCCCAGTTCCTTTTCCTTTAAATGGACGTTTGGCTTGATTCATGATCCTTGCACTATTTCTAACTAGACGTGTAGGTTCTTCAACTAGCTTTCCTGTCTCATTTACCTTTTTCTTAGCAGCTGCCATTTTCTTTGTAGGTCGTGTCATTTGATGAGAGCTCTCAGTAAGGTCATTATTGGTGCCAGGATCAGTTGGTTGAGATGCAACTGGTGTTGGGTTCCATGTTGGTGGCTATTTTGGAGCTGTACCCAATGTCTTCTTCTTTGAAGCAATGGTCTTTGGCGCCGTCCCCCTTGTCTTTCTTCCTGCCACTTGGGTTCTTATTTTGGGTGCAACAGTTGACTCTTGAGTTGGGCCACCTTGAGAGATAAGCACTTCCGAACTTCTCCCAAGCTTCAACAATATAACCATATTGTCAATATAAAAAAATATTATAAATAAAAAAATGTAGGAATCCTACAAAACTTACATTCAAAATAGTCATTTCAGTACACTCGTATGTAAAAAGACAATAATCATATTATCTTAGCCTTTTTCTAAGAGCCCCTCTTGTTCATAGTGGCGCCTCACTTTCAGCAACTTTTGTAGTTGGTCTTCTTCTCACCTAATAAAGACATATCAAAGTTAAACTTTAGCCCAAAAAATAACATAAACACCAAATTGTACAGCTTACAAGATATTTTCTCCTCGTCTGTTCAACAGTCGACTCAGTGGTTGGCTTTTGCACTGACCCTTTAGTTTGCCCTCTAGCTGGCCCTGCATCAGCCTCTTGAGCTGGCCCTACATCAGCCCCCACATCTGGCTCTACAGCAGGCCCTTCAATTAGCCCTTGGGTTGGTCCTGCATCAGCCTCTACATATGGTTGTTGTTGTTGTTATTGTTGGTGCTGTTTCTTCAATGTACAACCCTTTTTATTGTACCCTTCCTTTTGGCAATAGGAGCACCTCATCTTTGCATCAGTCCTGCTCATCCTCTGAGTTGAGATCTCTCCCTCCTACATTCTTCGTCTCTTTTCGGGTCTTCCAATTTGCTTCTTTAGTAGCAAAGGTTTAAGGATTTCATGATTTGTTGGCTCCTAGAATTTGCTACTTCTGATAGGCTACATCATGAATTGGTACGAAGCAAGATATGTGCTTTTCTTGCACCAATCATCTAGGTAATCCTCTGGGTTGTGTTGCTTCAACTGGATGGCACAAATGGCATGTGCACAAGGAATTCCAGTTAGTTATCAAGCTCGACATGAACACTTTCGCCTCTCTAGATAGACGACATACTTATCAGCATTGTTCATGATCTCATATCCATTATCTCCAATCCAAATTGGATGACAGAATCTATTAGCAACTATGTTCTCATCCAATCTCTTTACAATCCTAGGACTACATTGTTTAGTTCATTGTGTAGCCTTATCTCTTTGTTTTTGTAGCCTAGTCATGACCATAACTCGTATGTCTTCAAGCATGCTAATGATGGGTTTGTACCTAACCTCTAGTACTTTGCCACTGAAAGCTTCGTTGAGGTTGTTATCAATGATATCGCACTTAAATTTTTGCTGAAGAAGGCCTCATACCAATGCTTAGGTTCTGTTTGGAACAGTTCTTAAAAACTTTCATTTGACAACTAAAACAACCCCTATTTGGCTTTTCTAAAGTCAGCCATGTTTGTGCTCTTTGCTACATGCCAAAATTGCTTCTGCAGCTTATCCCCTTTATAATTCTTCGCCCAGTTTGTATATATGTGCCTCGCACACATTCTATGTTCAGCATATGGCATAAACTCAGTTAATGCAGGAACAAGTCCCTACAATAATTCAAACAAAAAAAATACTTGCAAGAAAAAATATGCGATTAATATTAAAAAGGCAACAATTTAAAATGACATTACCTTTTGTTGGTCGCTCATGAATGTCCAACCTTTCCCATTGGTTATCTCGATGTCAGCCATTATATTTTTTAGAAACTAGGACCAAGTGTCCTTGCTCTCTACCTTGACAACAACCCAAGCTATTGAAAATATTTGATTATTGGCATCTCTCCCAACGGCAGCAAACAACTCTCCCTTGCATAAACCCTTCAAGAAACATCCATCCAATCCTACAACTTTTCTACAACCAGCCAAAATTTTCCATTTGCATGCATCAAAGCAAATATAAAACCTATCGAACTTAGTCCCACAGTTAGGCAATGGCCTCTCAATAACCACTACATATACTCTGCTGGGTGGGTTTTGAAGCATACATTCGCAAGCATAATCCCAAACTTGGCCATATTCTTCCTTGTACCGACCCATCAGTGTACTCATCACTTTCTGTTTGGCTCTTTTGCACTGATTCCTTGATACATTAACCCTTCCTTGCTCCTTCACCAATTGCTTCAACTGAGGACTCTTAATCTGTGGCATCGCCTTGATAGTATTGAAGAAGTACTTCGACAATCATACACTTGTTACTATTTTATTGTCAAATATAATGGAACAATTATGTTCCTCTTACAATAACCTAATCTAGAATGACCCGCTTTTCCTATTCAGTACACAATAGATCTTCCATGAACAATTTGATTGCGAACACTTAGCTCTCATAAATTCTTTCGTATTTCTAATAAATTCGACACTTCTTTGTTCAGTAATGGAGTTCTTGACAATAGTTTCTTTAAACAGTTTCGCATTGTCAAATTTCATTCCTACGGACAAAACAGAATATACAGCAGTCGAATCATAGGAAGGATACTTACTTTTCCTTCTACGGACAGGTACTTCATCATCTTCAAGCTTATTCTCGGAGCTACCACTCTCATCTTCACCACCACTCTGTTCATATTCAGTCTGATTACCATCAACTAGAGCTTCTTCGTTCCTATTTACTGGTTGTGGTTCATGCGATTCTCTAAATGATGCAAATTTATTTCTCACAAAGTCTCTCTGCTTTTGCCTCGACTGTGTAAGTTCTTCATCGTCATCCTCATCACTTAGGAAATTTATATTTACCAAAACTTCATCATCCGATTTATTAGATTGCGCAACTTCCCAATTTAATCCGATCAATTCTTCATCATGTATGTCTTCACTAGAAGCTTGGGGACATCTCCCAGTTTGCTCAACTCTCTCTATATAACTTGCCTTCGTCTCCAGCCTCAGCTGTTGCCCTTCGTCCCTAACCTGAGTACATTCTCCAACTTCTCCTATTTTGTTGCTCTCATCATCTTCATCATCTTCACTGTCACTGTAATACTCAACATAGACTTTAGCTTCCTCGTCACGAAGATAATGGTAAATAATGTCCTTAACACCATTATCATCACGGAAGAATCTCAAGCCGTCCTTCAATCTTTTCCGAGGAACACAATAATGCAATTTATGTACTTTGCATCGTAAATAATGCACTATGTCCCTCTTGAATTCAATATATGATGGCCTCCTTACATAAAAAAAGATGGTACCTTCATTTCTACCGGCATATTCCTATTCCTCGGTGCCAATGACAAATTCCCCACCATAGCAAATAATGATGGTGACAACATTGTCCCCCATGTCCATGCTGAACTGAAAGAAAACAAAATAATTAGCTTTCGAAACCACAACGCACAGAAGCCAATAAGTTCATATGGAGGATCCCATAACCGCAACTAAATGATTAAACAAATTGCCATTGTCGAAATAAAATAACTTCAGTTGTTGTCGTTTCGTGGAAACGAAACAACATAGTTAGCACCGGTGTCCCTACAATGAGAACTTGAGGTCCCCACAATCACTATTTCACAATTCCTTCTCTACTACTGTCATGCCTAATTTATCCCTCCCCCCGAGCCTTAATTGTGCTCTCGGAGCCCTAATTTTTCCATCCAATTGAGCCATGGAGAGAATATGACAAACCTAAATGACTGAGGGTAAAAGACGACACGCGAGCGGCGGCCAACGACGACGGCGATGGAGCAAGTGACGACGCGCGAAGGAGCACAGCAACGACGGCGACCGATCAAGTGACTACAACGAGAACTTCCTTTGCTTGAACGATGACTAGACGAGCGACCAGACGAGCCCTATTTTCATCCTTCATCGTGCGACGTCGTTTAATTAACCAGGGGGAAACGACGTCACATTGGACGTCCAAACCACGTAGGTAATGCGACGTCATTTTTGAAGTCCACGTGGACTTTATTTTTTAAAAAAATTGGCAGGTCATTTACAAGATTTAATTAAAAAGCCAAGTATTAATTTTGGTCGGAATATCTTGCCGTTGGCACTTAAGTGATCGTTTTTCCTCCGATTTAGCACTTAAGTGAGCCGGCAGAAACTTTTGGCACTAAAGTGAGCGCCGTATATAACTTTTGGTACTTCTGCTATTCTTCTCCCGTTAATTTATATTGAACGTACATTTTTTTTTTATCTTTTATCAATCTTACCATTAACGAGGGCTTAGCTAGGATTATTTTGGACCCTTTAAATTTTAGGGGCATTTAATGCTATTAGCATGAGTCATTCACAAGCGCTATTTTATTTTAGATTGTGGAATCGGCATCCATGCAGTTGTATTTCCTGATTAAAGATTGACATGGGGCACAAGGAATCCACACCCCGCGGTACACCACCTCGATCAACGGCAAACTTTCCCCGTGGAAAATGCCTCACGTGGCAATTGGCGAGGTCGCTATTAATCTTGCCCCATCCTGTCGATCCCTCACGTTTATTTATTTAAAATTATATATTTGCTAATACAAGCAATATGCTAAAATTAAGATTATTATACCATATAAAATATAATAATTTATTACCTACTTAATTTAAAATTAAAGTAGAATAAAAATTTGTGGTACTAAGTGAATAATACGAATACAATAACATAAATAAGTAGAATTAAGTTCATGAGATTGTGATTCTTTTAACAATTATGAAATATGAATTATTTTAATCAAAACGATCCATAATTAATGTGAAAAATTTAACAATGTATATTATTTTTTTGGTCATATATTATTTATTAGGGTTTATACCACGAAAATCTCCAAACAGGTACGTATGTGGTAAATTTATCCCAAATTCATTTTTTGACAACAAAAAATCTCAAATTAGTACACCTGTGACAAAAATACCAAAAACTAATTTTTTAACTATAAAAAATCCTAAACTGGTACATCTGTGACAATGGATTAATACCACAAAAAATTACAAACTGGTAAATTTGTGACAAACAGAGGGTAAAACTCTAAACTGACACACCCGTCAATTGTCACGTGTCATCTAACTTATCAATTTGACTGTAAAATTTAACGGGAAATTAACGGAGGGTGAGATTATCACGGGTGTACCTGTTTGAGGATTTTTTAAGGTCAAAAAATTAGTTTTAGGTAAGTTTATTACAGATGTACCGGTTTGAGGTTTTTTGTGATATTAACGTTATTTATTAAAAAGTATATCATTCGTATAAATAATTTACATGAAATAGGAAAAAGAATAGGGACAGAGAAAAACGAAAGAGAAGAAAGCGGGAGGAGAGAAGAGGAGGAGCCGACGGAACAAAACGTTCGGGGAGGTCTTCACCCCAAGTTCAACTTCGGGAGATACGTTGGAGGCTTAGCTATCCTCGCCGTCGCGGCTTCAAAGAGGCCTCCGTTCCCCGGCGGCCGGCGAAATGTCCGGCGGCTCTCGGCTCTCTCACATCTCCGGCCTGATCGACCTCCATCTCCGACCGTGCGCCGTGAGTCTCTCGTCACTCGATTCACCCCGACTTCCCTTCCACTTCGACGCGTCGGCCCGACATCCTCTCGTCGCCGTCGATTGGTCTCGCGATGTCAAGAATTTCGATGCATGCGCGCGCGCGCGCGGTTGTCCTCTGTGCAGGTAATCGAAGTTGGCTCCGTGAGCAAAGAGGAGGAGAAGAACCTGTTGATCGCTCTCTCCAAGGTGCGTGTTTCGCTTCCCTGTTCGCGTTTTGTGTTCGCATAAAGGCCGGTTCGACTTTGTCAACGTGCGCGGACATGGTTACAAGGTTACGGCGAGTGCTGATTGGGTTTGTCGTTTTAGGTTTTCAGAGAAATTCGGCTCTGGACCAGTGAAGAGACCGATGGGTCCTCTGATAGCGTCGGTTTCTGTCTCTGCCTCTGTCTCTGTCTCTGTGTTGTGTGTGCGTTTGTGGATAGTTTGGTGACCCGATTGCTGTCCTTGTCACTTTACAGGACGCGGAGGAAAACCCGGTTTCGCAGAGTGCGGATTCAGGTGAATTTGCTCTCAACTCCGAGGAACGAATCTTTTTGGCCAAGATTGTTGGTGATTTGGTAAGTTGTTCTATTGTAATGAGTGCAAAATTTCCTTTGGAATGAAACTGATGGATGTTCATTTAATTCCCGCTATTCTTGTAGTCTGTTTAATCTCTATTTCTGTCGTAACTCATAAATGTGATGGAAATGGCATGATAAAGCGAAAAACACGGCCTTTATTTATATAACATATTGAAATTTAATCTGGTTCCAGATGTTAGCGGACGAAGGTTTTCTTAAGCAATCAACAAATACTAGTCCTTTTGAGGAACCAAAATGTAACATGTGATCTCGTTTGGTCTAAAGCACTGCCGGTGCAGGATATCGTAAGGCTTATGTATTGTTTTAGCCATGCTGCCCTCTTTGGATTTCTGTCTCTTGCTACTGATACCTGGCATACATTTTTATAGGTCTGCTATACTTTGTTTGACTGGTTTCCTCTGCGTTCTCATCGCAGATGTGTTTTCTAATGGTTCACAGTCAACATGTTCAGCATTTGACGAGCAATGTCCTTTCGGCAATTTCCGAGCTTCTGTCTGCCTATGTAGGTTCTTGTTTGTTACCGTCAAAGTTAGATCAGTTAAGTGTGCCAGCTTTATTGTTCTAAGGGCTCTTAGCATTAGCTCTTCTTTATCTGCAGGGAAAAGGATGGGGCCCCTTTGTGCATTTGTTGTTTGTTTATGCTGAATTGTCAATAGGAAACATTCACCCGTGTTCTTCCGTTACCAGAACAAGGGTACATGAAGACTTATATGGTGTTTCAGAAAGTTGTAGTCGCGCCATCAAATCGAAGCTGCAAAAGGCCAACTGGTCCACTGTGGCTGGAATTTTTCGGGTCTTGCGCTGCATTTGGAAATATTTGAAGCAAGATTTTGAGGATCAGCTAGTTGATTCGTACTTAAATTCTCTGAATTCCTTTATTTCACATATACCTTGGAATCTATTGGATGATGCTAATGTGGGTCAAAAGTGTGCTCACCTGGGTCTGCAAATGCCGAAGTTCATATTTCTTGGATATTTTACTCAGTTACTGAGTTCAGTGGTGGAGCAAGTCGATCATAAAAAGGTTCAAGGTGGTTCTGTGAATGGGCATCAACTTCTTTTCTCCATTGCCAAACTTGTTCCCAGTTTGTTCCTATGTTGTCTTGGCAAGGAAGAAGAACATGATGATGCTCGCATCTCTTTATACTTCAGACATAAGCTGTTGGTATGATCCATCTAAGTTTCCTTTACTGTTGTGTCAATTCAACTTGTTATTTGGGAACATTCTTTGTGCTCAGATATTAGTAATTGCAGATGCTGATGACTAGGCTCAGTGGCCAGGGCCTGGAGAGCTCTGTTCTCTTCCTATGGTTGCGGCTTCTGCATAAATACTTTCAAGATCTTATGTCAGAACAAATAAGTATGCTTGAGCCTGTCAGAGAAGATAGTTTAGAAGGCTCTCCCTTTTCAGGAAGCATGTTTGAGGAGAACATTCAAGGTACTAATCTATACCACTTAAAGAGGCAGGCTATCTACCTTTTCATCAAGTGTTCTTTGAGTTTGATTTTCAATGAAGAGGAGGGTGACCAGCAATGCGAATGCCTATCTGCAAAACCATGTTTAAGTTCACATCCAGAATATTGCAGTCATAAGAAAGTTTTAGGAGAGCTTTATAAGTGGCTCAGTCAGAATCTTCAGCACGATACCCATGGTGACAGTGAATTATACATGGAGAAGTGCATGCATTTTGGTTCATCCTTCATTCAGCTATATGCCCAGGAGGTTTGCATTTCTTGATTCTTGCAGTTGAAAGTTCTATGAGGATTGCGTTTTTTAATGTTAAAAGTTTCATGAGGGTTGCTTCTTCTGGAGATTTAGCAATTACACTTGTCATGCTTTCCCTTTTCCCCTTTTTCCCTTTTCGATCCCTACAGAGCAAGATAATACATTAGCAAGAAATCAAGGGTGGCAAGTTGTGAGTTTGGGGAAGGGTAGGGTGTTTTCTTGGCATTGCCACTCTTAAGGAACCAAGGTAGAATTCTTTTGCCCGCATTATAGAGTTGCTGTTTCCAAAAGTGTTGAAATGTTAAAATTTGAGCAAGCTTACTCTTTAGAGCAAGGTTCATGTCTACTATACATGTACCATTTAGGTGACAGGAGCATTTGGGGAAGGGTAGGGTGTTTTCTGGCATTTCTGCTTTAAGGTCTGGCATTTCTGCTTTAAGGACCAAAGGTAGAAATTTTTTTTCCTGTACTATAGAGTGGCTGTTTCTGAGTGTGGTCTAAATGTTAAAATAAGATCAAGCTTCTTCTTTGGAGCGAGGCTTACGTCTACTATACGTGTACTGTTATTTGGGTGACGGAGCTGTACAAATATGAGCAAAGATACTTTGGTGAGATGATAATGAAAAAACACAGTAAACTGTTGCAGTATATTGCTTAATTACACGCCTTTAGAGGCTTTAATCTTCATGATAATTTTCACTAATGAATTGAGAGAACAGAGAGGGAAAATTTTCATGGAGAAGAAATGCACGCTTAAGATTGAGGAGTCGCTCTTACCAAAATTAGAAATGAAAAAGGAAGTGGGAAAAAAGGGTGAGGTAAGGAGGTGTCAGTACAGAAGATATTGTCCATGTCTTTGCTGATCTGATTATTTGCTCTGTAGTTTCTACAAGCTTATAGTGTATTATGCTTCAAAATGTTTTTCATCTTCTATAACCTAATGTGGTGCTAATTTGGTTGTTACCAGTTGGCAGTTTAGAGTTGCATATTTGAAATTAGAATGTTGAATACTTGCAAACAGAGGGTGAACTCATGTGGGGGTAATGAAGTATTTAACCATGACAAAGCTCTATGTATTTCTTTAAATTAAAGTACCATCCGTTGAGGCATTAATTATTTCTTTCTATGTTGCTGTTCTTTTATTCCTTATGCTTATATTACACTCTAATTACATGGCATTGTAATAATTTTGTATTCAGTGAGATTGGATTAAGGCTTAGTTTGTTAGCTATCAATGTTCTGTGGAAATGATTTGAAGGAGGGCACTGACTTGTTCTCTATTTAACATTAGGATGACCTGTTATTCAAAGTGCTCTTAGAAGTGCTTAGCATTCCGATACCTGGATCTGAAAAGTGAGCTGAAATATTCTAAAATTTGCTACTTCTATATTCTTATTAGATCAGTGAATTATGTGATTCTTTTTATAACTTCTCGGGCTGCTTGCAGGTTTGATGAAGTAAAAGGGAGAATCCCAGACTCACAGGAAAATATTCTTATTCACCTTTCAAACCTTTTTAACCCTTTAAACTTATTCCATTCATTTCTTGCAGAGGTATGTTTCGTAGATTCTCCTCGACCAAAACCCTTTTCATGTTTTTTGTTTTGTATCATTGTAAGCCCTAAACTTTTTGACTTTTGCATCTGCAGATAAAATATGATCATCAGGTGCTTCTTGATTACCTCATATCTAAGGACATGGGAATCAGTTGTGCAGAATATCTTCTACGGTATGCACTTTCTTGGAAATAGTTTTCAGTTTTCCATTTCTCTTGTGTTGCTAAAATAGGAAATCCAGGTATGTTTGAACCATGGGTATCCATTTTCTCCTTTAGCCTTGCTTGACTCTGTTCTCTTTGTATTTCTTTTTCTTTGAAGGTGCCTGCGACTGATCTCTGAATCATGGGAAGCATTTTTACAATTTTCATATGTGTGGAGTGCAAAGAAATGGTCGTCAATTACGGAAAGAAAAATTTTCCGCCAGAAGGTAAACTTTCGTCTGGAGCCGTATAGCACTGGAAACTTCAGACATGGGCATAAACTCCAAGGAACTAGAGGAAAGCCATTCGACAAAGCTAAACTATGTTTGCTGTCCTTAAAATATTCAGTGGAAAATCTCCATCAGAAAAATTTGTTTCCTTATAATCCTAAAGTTCTTCTGAGACGGTAAGCTTTCTTCCTGACTATTTCGATCTTAATTATATATGAAATTTCTACATGTAAGCATATGTCAGTAGTGTCTGAAATTTTGCATGAAGCATGTCAAGACATATGACGGCTGAGATAGATGCTAGAGGCATCTGAACTGCATATATTTCTGTGGCAGTCTAACAGAATTCCAGGAACTATGTTTTAACAAAGGATGTATGGGAAGAGTGGGTGAGGGGAAGTTGACATAAGAGATTGAAGGCATCATTTTTTTGTGAGTTACTCTTTGAGGATGGCAAGAATGAGATGCATTTACTGATACATTTACCCACTCCAGCACTTGCAATGGAAGGGAATAACACCAACAAAACACTTTTTATGTAAGTGGCTGAAAAAGGAAGTTCGTAATTTTTCCCTTATGTTGAGTACTGTGCTTCTGAAGATCTTGCAGGTCAGTAACATTGGGTGTTTCAATTTGTTGCAGAGGACTCACAACTTCATCATTTCCAATATACACTGAGGTTTTCTAAATATTCTGCTGTATCTATTCACTCAAAGGTACTTTTGTGAGGGATGTAACAAATGGGCCTGTTTTAAACAAAAAGAAAAGAAAAGACAGGCCTCAGATACCCAAGCCCAATGCCCTACTTAAACCCTTGAAGCTTGCATCCCTAACCCATCTATTTGTTGTCACAGCTGGTCTAAGAAAATAAAAAGGAACACAGAGAGAGGGGTCGGCAAAAAACAGAAAAAGATGAAGGGGGAAGAACCGTGAAACAGAGAGAGAAAGAGAGGAGTCAGGGAATTCAGAGGTGCTAGGACGATCTTCAAGTGTCAAATTTACGCCATTTTGAAGCACTTGGTAAGAATTTGAAACTTTGTCATACTCAATCAAGAGGAGCTATTAATGCTGGAATTTTGCAAGTTAGTTGCGATTCTGAGCTATGAAATCATGTTGTAAAGAAACTTTAGGGTGTCGTGGATCTCTAGATTTTAAAGAAGTTGATTTGCGATTACGGTTTGATCAGAGTGCAATTTTGAAGTATGTTTTGCTCTATTGGAATCAGACTTTGGCGCTAGTTTTCACTCCCCTCTGTCCGTATTTGAGTCGGAGGTGAGGTCTCTTTTTCATTATACCAAGTTAGCTTTCCAATGACCCCGCACCCACTTGAAACGGATGTTGTTATATTTTGATCTAGCCATTTTGGTCTCGGTGTGCAAACTGTCACTCACCAGACTTGCTCCGTTTTCAGCGAGTTTTGGAAGGCGCGTCATAATCGTGTTGTTATTAAATAAGCTTAATTTAATCAAGTCATTAAGGTTGTTTTCTACTTGATTTGATAATTATTTCTCACTTGATTGGATTTTTGGTTGAGGTAGCTTTAGGGATTGTCATGTAAGTGGTGCTTATCTCTTTATGATTTGGAAACTCATGTTTTAAAAACTATAGGTAATAAATATGTTGTAAGCTTTGAAAGAGGCATCGTAGAATGATGTTTATTAGAAAGAAAGAGTGATGTCCAGCGTATGTTTGTTGCATGAAGCTGGATTGGACATTTACAACCCTTTTGGTGATTTGAAATGACATAGTGAAGCATTTCTTGAAATAGTTTATATGAAGCAAAAGATTCGAGAGTCTAGGCTGCAAATACATGTTCTAGAATGGTTTGAGAATATAAAATGCATTCTACTTTATGGAGTGAATAGTGAACGATTAATATGTATTATTTTGTGCGCCTGATTTATGAAATGGTTTTTGAATTGGTTATGATTGGAGGATGAGTTGACCGTTTTGTGCTCATTGGTGCTATTATCTAAACCCATTGAGGAATTGTGAGTATGCATGCTATTCTCAGGACGTCCTGTTTGGGCTGAGCCACTGGCTAATATAGGTGGAGACCTATGCCAATGGGGATCTTGGTAGGCTTTGTGACGAGGCTTTAAGCGAGGTCATAGTTTGATATTGAGCACTAGAATGATTAATGAACTGGACCATTGATGTTTGCTTTGATGTTGTTGATTGAATAGTTATTTCTGATATGTATAAAGCTATGTTGAAGTGATATAACTCCTGTTTGATCTTGTAAGTATATTATTACTAGATTTGGATAGATATATTTCTGGCACTATTTATAAATGTGCATTGTAGTGCTTGATCTGCTCAGAAAAGACTACTCAACAGGTGGTGGTTTGCTCATACAAATTATTTCAATTCTTATTCAGATTTTTATAATTACCGACAAGTAGGATGAGAGTCATGTTAGCGGGAGACTTTTCGGTAGTTGATTTTGGTACTTTTTGAGATAGTTGTACATATGTTTGTACAATTACTTATGTTGAGTTTAGTGTGGTTAGTCACCAAAAATGTGCAGTTTGATATTTGAGTTTTCTTTTTTAGTTGATAAAATGTATATATTCTTTTTAGTGGACTTTAGATTTCCGTCTTTTGTAATCAGCTTGTCGTATATACATTTTGAGAACAGGTTTATGTTAATTATGTGTGAGGCTGTGTTCATTGGGTAGGCAGACCGCTATGTCATTCCATAGACCTACTGTGGAGATGGAGTGTGATATTTTTTGGTATAAGAGTTTATGACCCTTTTTGATTTACATTATGGGACATTGTGAGGTTGTGTGTTATTTTTGAAGGCGTCATTCTTTGTTAGATACCAAGGTGTAAGTTTCATTTTGGATCCAATGATCATGGCTTTTGACTTAGAGATACTTGCTTTGCTTTGTAAATTTAATAATGGCAAATGGGTCATTACCTCTAACACTAGAGATGTGTCTAGATTTTTGAGGTGTGGCTTTGACAAGGAGATGAGAGGATCATCATGATCTAATTCCTGAGTCGCAGGAGGCAAGGGATGCGCTCGACCAGCTTATCGGATCGTTGTAAAGAATTAAGTAGTAGAGTTGCCCATTCAGAGATTGACAGCTAATGCATCTTTGCCCGATTTTAGAAAGGTTAACCTATCCACTTATGATGGGAAAGCAGATCCCATTATGGTTAAGCATTGGATTAGATGGATATGAAGGATCTTTAGAGCTGAATACATGCTGTCGATTTTAAAGTGGACTTAGCCACTCACTGCTTACAAAGCAAAGCCGGGTACTGGTAGGAGGGTGACCAGCCTTTGGGGGGCGACAAGATGACCGTCTCTTGAAAGATTTCACTGAGGCTTTGTACACCTAATTTTCCAGTCATTTTAAGCCAGAATAAGGGGCAACTTTGTGTATATATCTCCGGAAGAATTCATAGTTACAGAGTACACTACTCATTTCAATTAACTCAGTCCTTATGACCTTTTGATCCAACAGGTAGTTCCCATATTATAGGAAAAAGCTTCTCAAGGTTGGCTCTTAGTTAAGTGAGTTTCTTCATACATATTTGTGTTATTCTGTGTTTGCTTATTTCACGAGATAAAAGTCACTGGATGAAGACATTTCGACTGGACTGAATATATTACACCTGCATCAAATCGTCAAGAGTCGGCTATATTCTGTTGATCTTTGACGATAAGTTACGAACTCATGTCGAATCTAAGTATGTGGCCCTTTGACATGAATTATATGGATGTTGTACAAGATCAAAACTTAAATAATAGTACTGACTACATCGTGCTGGCCATATTGGAATAGGTCATCACGCTTCCTGGCGAATTGCAGCCTTGGGAAGGTTCCAGTTTAGTCTGGGTTGGATTTGGGGATAGGATCCTTAAGATCAATATAGGAAGGTCTTCTTTCAGGTGGTGCATGAGCCTAGAAGCAATTTGGCTGCACTTATTCGAGGGCTTCAAGTACTTTTCTCCTTAGTGAAAAAATGAGTACATTTCTCCTTTTCTTTTGCGTAAGTTCTACGGACTTCTCACGAGCAACCATATGAACAGCGTTGAGGAGTTACTGCGGGTTCTTGCTCATGTAAGCCAAAGCAAAGAATGAAACAGACCTGAGTTCCTAAATCGTGATCAAGAGCTGACATTCTTCTCATTCTCAAAGTGGTGAACGAAGTGAGTAAGCGTGATCTGACCTCTGAACCAAAATTATAAGAGATGGTGTGGTTGCACTCATGCTTTCGGGAAATGTTTGGCGACGAGGTATGAATGTCCATTTTTTTTTTCGCTTAATTTCTTTCGGTTATATGATTTGACCACTTACATATTCCAAAATTGATGTTCTTAGTTGTTGCAATGATGGGTATCGCATTATGATTGAAAAAAAAATTACGTGTGCATTTGGATATTTCTGTTTGATCATACGATGCAGTACTTTTGAACACGCATGGAGAAGACGGATTATGGGAGTGTGCGGCTTGCATCGGCCGCTGCTACGGCATAATTTCTTTTACCGTTAAAGCTGTATATATATTCTAGTTGATGAACTTGATTTAACGACAAGAAATTTTAAGCAACCATTACAAACCAACATTTAGATGGAGTGGCCCTGAACTTTATTGTTCTCTATTTGATCTTTCTTGTAAATATTATCAATCGTGCCAAATAAATATCATCATTCTAGTAACCTCAACTTTGTGAAAAAAAAAAAAATTCAAAGATCGGGCACCAAGGGATCAATGCAAGTGCTCGCGCCTTGTCAACTTTATCAACTCGTATGTTATCTATATATCAAGAAAGCCCAAAAAAGAGGGAACCTCCCATAGTTTAGTCAGATATTAATATTAAGCAAATAAATAAAAGTTTAACAATTGAAGGTCAATAAAGTGGATGCTCCCCAGTAGCCACCCTTCCCCCTTTCCACCTGGGAAGGAGAGGTGAGAAGTTCGATTCCTCACTTTCTCGGAGGTTTAGATGTGGGGACGTTTAGTTTCAAATGTGGGTTTTAACTTCCACGTTTTGCAAAGAAGTAGAGCAAAAGTCTGAGAGTGAGTTGAGAGTTAGTGTTACGACCCCGCGGCCGTCGGGGGTTATTATTACGACGTCTCAAACTCGTCGCCGTCCTGTTTCTTTTATCTCGTTAATCATGCACATTCGGAAACGTGTACAAACCAACTCCTAGACAACACAACTAACAAGCAGCCAGGAAAACACTATACAGGACACACTACTTTCATATTGCTTCAGTACATTTACAAGCCTTTTTTTTTTCTACAAGCACTTCTTGCTTACATTATCATTCTATCCAAAGACGTAGGCCAAGGCATACCTATCTCCTCTAGCAAGGCTGTAACTCCAAAATCGGTATACCATGACGAAGAAGAGGTGAGACGTCCATACCTACAAGTCTGAAAGACAATGGAGTGAGTCGGAGATTCAGTAAGTAAAATCACTAATTCTGAGTTAGGAAGACGTCTCATCGTCGAACCTAGCATGCGAACATCACTCGCACCACGGTATCGATGGCAGATCAATAGCAACACTATTGCTGTACCTCGACTATATGCATGTGATCAATTTCGGCTTACCGTCAAGGCACGATTTACTTTCAGCTTATCAATAAACTTAATAACACACATCAACATGCATCAAAGGTTCATTAATCGTCTCACATGGTTCTTCTCATACTTTTAGGGGCTTCCAGTCTTAGGCTGGGCATCCGGAATTCATCGGGCAACCCATACTCTTAGGGACTTCCCATACTTTTAGGGGTTTCCTTAAGCTGGGTATCCGGAATCTATTGGGCAACGTCACCAAAATCCATTGGCGATGGCTATTTCCTTTATGTGACCACACAACAAACATTCATGTAAGCTGGATTCTTATCTTTTTTTCTTAGCCAATACATACACAATATCCGTGGGCGTGCTCAAACGAGTCTGTGTGTGTGTCATGACCCTCACTACATGGTATGCCGAGAACAATCCTTAGTTCGTGGCTTGAACCGAACGCCTAGCGCCGATCCCCACACCGAGCAAGACTTGGAACCGGCATGCCTCAATGCCGACTAAGGCCTTGCGGCTTGGTTTATCTTGCCTTAGCGATGATTCCAAGCTGAGCGAACCTCGATCTTGTCCCGGGGCGTGAACATATTCAAACATGCCACATAAGCAAACCATAGAAAAGAACATCATACACATGATTTAGTACGGGTGAGCACACGTCCAAATTCAACAATACAGCATATCGCCCTTGCTAAGAGTTAGTAGTTTCATTTACCTAGAAATGAACTAGAGAGGGCTTGCCAAGAAATGGCCTAAAAGGAGGAGGTGGCGCGCACGGGAGAGGAAGATGAGGTAGTGAGCCCAAGGTGTGGAATTGAAAGAGGTGCTCTTTCTATTTATAGGCCTCAACTTCATCATTGCTTGTCCAAATGGTCCAATTGATTTCCTTGAAGTGGCATGCCTACTAGAATGAGTTGGCTAGCCTATTGGATGAGTAACAAGCCTAACAAGAAGAGGTGACATGCCTAATGGAATAGTGTGGCATGCCTAAGCTCTTAGGGAAATTATGAAGCCAATGTGTGCATTTCTAATTGGTACACTTGGTCATGAGTCACTAACTTTCTCTCTAAGCCAAATCTTGGGCCATCATAACTAAATCTTCCTAAGGCCACCTAAGCCATTAATCACTTGCTTCTTCTTCAAGCCAAATCTTTTTGCCATCATTAACATATCTTACCTTGCCACTTAAGTGGACAACTCACACCTTCATTAAATGCTCAAGATATGGTCATGATGGGGTTTGGATTTTGTCACACGTTTCTTGCCTAGCTTGCTCTCCAAGCCAAATCTTTGGCTATCATTACCAAATATTCATAAGGCCACCTAAGATGATGATTCATCCCTTGCATTAATAGCCAATGTTCAAGAGTCTTATATTATGTCCATTTTCAAGAATGTGGCAAACACGAGAATTAGGCCAATGGAAACGCTAACATGATCGGGTATGAGTTTCTTATGTCCATCCACGATCAACCGTGCCAATAAAATCGAGGTTCGTAGCTGAGTCACCATCGGATGTGGTGGGACATGGCCAAACTTGCCTAGATTGGCTAAGTTGGTGGCCCATTGCGTGGGCTTCGTGGCCGGCACTGGCCGAGCGCAGGGCCGGGCTTACTGGGTGCATGGCCCGTGCCTGTCCTGGTTTGCGGCCTAACAGTAGGGTCCATGAGCTGGTCAGGCACATGGTCGGTGCTTGTGCTAGCTCATGGCCTTACGGCAGGGTCCAAGTCCGGGCATATGGCCGGCTCATGGCCTGACACAAGGCCTGGCTCACAACTTGGCACATGGCCTAATCGGCAAGATCGCCAAACCAATTCCGTGACTGATCCATGACTGGTCCGTGACCCATGGCCAGTTCATGATTGGTCCATGGCCAAGTATACTCGGTCCGTGGCCGACTCTCGGTTGTCATGTAGTTGTGTGGGATCGATCATTTCGTGACTGACACGGTTGCATGGATCGATCCATAGCCCTCTGCGGTTGGTACATGACCGTGCGGAATACCCCGCGATCGGAATAGGACCGCGCGGGATTGATCCATGATCGTCCATCGATCCTCTGTGGTATGTGATCGTCTCACGACCAACCCTTATGGTCTAGCAGCCGAACCATGGCCGAATAGCTTGGGTCACTTGCGTGGTCATTAGGTTGGTTCACTGTTGATCCCTCAATCATTCCAGGACCGATCCTTTGATCAGGCCGTGGTTGATCCCTTGGTTACCCTTCCGATCAGGTTGATCGGTCCATGACCGATCCTTGGATTGGTTCATGGCCGATTTCCCCCACTATCGGCACACCAGTTCCATAGCTATTTCTCATGGCCAGAATCGTGGATGTTACAGTTAGCGTAGGACAGACTCCCCAAAAAAAAGTGGATGCTTTGATAAACCACATTACTCGTAATACAATGATGCTCCTCTTTTGTTAAAGCTAAAACAAAGGAAATAGAGATTCCGAGAAGCTAAATTTCATCAAATTTTGTAATTTGAAGTCTCTCCCGCTTCCCTCTCTCTTTCTCTCTCCATCGTCTTCTTCAACCTTCTGCCATAGGGGTAGGGTTTGAGTTAGTCTCACCTTCCTCCTCCCTCTCTCTTGTTGATTATGTGTGTTTTTTATTTATTCTTTTCTTGTTTTTTCTTCTCTCTCGATCTACATCGAGAGCTCTCTTTTCCTGATCGAGTTATAGATCTAAAAGTTTGAACTCTCTCGACATAATCCTAAATCCGGGAGCTTTGCTCTCTCGATCTAGATTTGAAAGTTTAATAAATATGTTTTCGGGTGTTCGATGCCCCAGTGCTTTGTCCGTGTATAAGTTCTCTGCCTCCATCTTCAATGGTGATCGCAGAAGCTCGGCGTCTCTTTGAATCATGAAGATTTGCTCTCTCAAATGTTATATCTGTGTTCATATAACCTGTTTTGGTTGTTTCCGTATAGCGATGGTGTGAAGGAAGCCGAACCTAGGCGTGCACTACCAATTGACAACATTATAGTTACTAGAGAAGGGATTTCCAACGCATGCTAATCATTGACAAAGATAAGAGATCCAGTGATCGGTTGCCAATTTTTTTGCTTGAGGTCCGTTCTTGTGGAATGAACGCGTGCTTAGCCCTGTTGATCCTCATTGTTTTCAAGATTTGGCTTTGTTTTGCAATATTCTAGGCTTTGCTCTACTTCAATTTGCTTCGCTATAAAGTCTATATACTTCTTATATATTCTTACAATTTTCTTTCAATTAAAAAAGGACATCCTTAAATATTTCACGCAGGTTGCCAAGAAAAAAAAGAGGAAAAGATCACATATGTAACTATAGTAGTGAATAGTTCCAAAGGAAAATTTCTAAGATAAAAGTTTCTGAAATGGGAAGTTTTTATTTCACTCATAATGTAACGTAATGCACCCTAATCAATTGCAAGAGTAGTGTTTTGGCCAAAAAAATAGTCAGAATAAGAGGAAAATAGAAGTAACAAAACAACCAAAGAATTTATTTCTCCTTATTTACTACATAATAATTTTCTTTAATAAGAGTGATGAATAATAAGGCGCACAAGTGAGAGAATAATACTCTCTCACAACTTGCAAAGTAAAATTTCTCATGAGGAGGGGGAAATGTGACATCCTGAGTTTTGCTTATCCGATAATAATAATTGGGCTATAAAGCTCAACATTATTGAGTATGGAGTTTGAATGAAATAGTTTATGCTGAGGTATGAGCAACACGAAATGAGCTTGTGAATCAATATTGGAACAAACACGGTTGGAGACGGTTGACACCAGTTGCTAAATGGTGATACTAGGTCACATATTGAGATCGGGCGATCTTTCAATCTTCCATCTAGTGATCATACGAATCAAGCTTGTCGTTCAGAATTGTCGCCAATGATTTCACGACTTTAGTAAATCGAGAGATACGTTGTGCATGTTAATCCTAGCCATGCAACATTAATGAAATGTTCACATATGTGGTCTATGGAACTAGACACCTAATCCCCCACTATGGCCGAAAATCTAGGGCCATTATTGGCAATTCAATTATTCT